TCCCTGTACTAAATATCCATCAACTCACTTCCTGTAGATCTCCTGCACTTATCCATCACCTAACACAAATACTCTTACACAGATCCGTCACCTACACACACAGTATATCTGTACTTATCCATCACCTCACTTATCAGATCTCCCTGTACCTCACACAAATATCCATTCAACTCAAAGAGATCTCCTGCACTTATCCATCACCTCACACAGATCTCTCTGTACTTATCCATCACTTCACTCAGATCTCCCTGTACGTATCCACCATCTCACTCAGATCTCCCTGTAATAAATATCCATCACCTCACACAGATCCCACTGTAATTATCCATCACTTCACACAGATCACCCTGTACTTATCCATCACCTCACACAGATCACCCTGAACTTATCCATCACTTCACACAGATCACCCTGTACTTATCCATCACCTCGCACAGATCTCCCTGTACGTATCCATCACCTCACTAATGTTTCTGTATATATCAATCTAATGCCAATATTCATGTATACATATAGTTAAACGAAACACTGCTTTACATTAGCTCTTCTTGAAAATATATTTCATCACACCGATACAACACGTAGCGAAGAGTATATAGTCAAACAGGCTTATACCGTTAGATGTCTCCTTTGGACGATTTTAGAAACACATAAACTATTTATAAACTACTTTGACGGCATTCCCATGGTGACTAAACACTCTGTTCGTGATCAGTTCTGATATATTTCAAAGATCACAAGCAGCTCGGGCTGACTTGCAGGGACGTTTCTTTCAAAAGAACAGCGTCTATTATAAAAGTTGTTCAAAGATCAATCCAAAATGTTCAAATGTCGATAGTTCTTATAAAAGATAGTCTGCTGAAGGAAAGCAAGGGCGGTGCATTCAATCCTAAAACTTCATTTCATAGGACGCAATTTGTGTATGAAAAAGTTCACTGTCTTAACAACGTATTTCTGTACCGGTCATTTCCTCGAGAACCGGGTGTCCCTTTGTTCTTCGACAGGTAATGACCCAGATCTAACCGAACGCCTCACGCCCTGTGCTCGTCAGTGTGCATCGACTTCAGAACTCCACGGACACGCAGCATGAAGAATAATCCCATCCCACTTTATTTAATATCAGCGTTCAATGACAATCGATACGTGATCTGGGGTACGTTTTTTTCAATAACAAACCGAAACACGAGTCTCATTAACCAATTCAGACTTTTCAGCCGATCCGAATTTTCTCGCGTGAAAGTGAAATAAGACACTAGAAACAACTATGGTTATAATGAATTACAATTCCTTGTTTCATACGAAAATGGTATTTACAAATTAAATTCAATTGGAAAATTTAATAAAGTCGTATTTCGATATTTTATGTCGGGGTTTTGGCAGCATGTCATTAACTAAGACGTCACAGACTGCCCCTGTTTGAAGAGGTCGTACAATGATTCAGAATTCATCTGGCTCACTGGTTACACCTGTTATGCGTTCTTTGCACTAATTAAGTGTATTTTTGTAACGTACAATGTGATTAATATAATATCAAGTCCGTACCAGACCGCCAAACTTTTGTAGCGGCCGAGCCTCGTTTTGAGATTTTCACGATTTCCAGATTTCCGTTTGTCAGAGCATGCTGTATACGACAGAGCACGCTGCACGGCGGGCTTGCAAGGATTAGAAGAAGCGTAGTGTTGCAATATACAAATGATTAGATGTATCAGTAATAATTAATTTAATATTTATATATCCAGTTGAATGAGTTGGTCTCAAAATTCTGGACTGGTTATTGTACTAAGTTGCGCAAAAGGACGGGACCCAGTCAGCAGGAAACGAGACTGTTGTGTAATCAATGTTTTGACTTGGTTTCTGAATCAGATAGTTGAGGTATTAAACATCGATGTTGTCACAGAAAAGGGCTTCAGTTTCAGCCAACTACATATATGGATAAACAGCGGGATACAGAAAGCAGGCTCAACAGGCTAAGAGTGAGTGAGTGAGAATCTGTAACAGCAGGGTGACACAGAACACGCCCTGAGGGCGCAATGAGTAGATAACTGAGTGTGGATTCACGCATTGCGAAGTTGAGACTCTATCACTGTATCACAATAGCCAAACAGTTATACAACCGGACGCTAAGAAAGTCTTTCACGCTTTGTACCAATGTGGGGATTCGAACCCAGACTTCCAGCGAATGCCTGAACAGATAGGTTGCCCGATTCCCTGAGGCGCGACTCAGTCACAGGTTTTGAATGTGCACTGATGTGTAAATATCTCGTTCAATAACGAGAGTGTGATGACTGTGTCAATTGATGCTACGAAGCACCACTAGAATATATTGACACCTGGCTTAACGTTTGCGGGATCACGTTTAATATTCGTAGAGAGAATTGTTAATGCAATCAATGTTGATTAATGTATTATTTACCATTGTGCTGGACAGGGAATGAAGTGGCAATACCTTCCGGCTATCAAACATAACATAAATAAAGATGATAGAAGATGATGACAGCGACATCAGGAACGTGGTTGTCCTAACTTATACTGCTAACACACAGAGAGAGACACACACACACACACACACACACACACACACACACACACACACACACACACACACACACACACATGCGAGTCATCGATTCTCCCAACCGTGAATTAGGTGTTAGAATTCAAAAATCCACGATTGTCGTAAGAGGCGAGTAACGGGATCGGGCGGTCAGGCTGGCTGAAGTGGTTGACTTCAGCCGTAAATTGGTGCTCATGATGTTGATCACTGGACTGTCTGATCCAGACTTGATTATCTAGAGACCCCCGCCATATAGCTAGAATATTGCTGAGTGAGTCGAAGAACAAGAAGCAAACAGTAGTTCTCCGACCCCTATTGGGACTGGTAATATTCTGTATGGGTTTGGGATTTGATTGGTCAAATTGGGAATTATTTGCAGGGATGATAATCATAAAGAAATGTTACAAGTATATGTGTTCTAAGTTTCCTTCCATAAGTGTACATCGTTTACAGACCAACTCATTGGCCTAGCAATCGTTCAAGGTTACAGAAGTTAGCTCCCTTTGTGTACAAGTAAATCCTGAGCGAGACTTGAGTCGGGTTGAGAAGCGAGGCGAGATTCTGTTTAATAATTGTTTGTTATTTAACAACTCAGTAAGTTGACAACTATATGATAATCGTCTGTAAATAATCCAGTGATCAACATCATGAGCATCGATTTGCGTATTTCGGATACAATGACATCTGCAAGCCTGACCACCCGATCCCGTTAATTGCCTCTTGCAAGACCGTTTGGTGAAGACCAATTCCAAGCCGATTTCAAGGGTCACAGAGCGAAGAAGAAAGATATTTGAGGTTTGTTGAAACTGCCTCACCTCTCGCCCAGAAGCAGCTTTACCTGAGAGACTTCTTCGCCCACCTTCTCCAACTGACACAGGCGAGTATCTTCGCCTGAGAGAATATTGTTGCCTTTCCCACAAACCGGAGTACTTTCCCTTGTAACAATTATTCTCGTTCCTATTCTCCAAGGCGGAAGCCACTTCAAGCACGGGACTGTTCCCACAAGGAAGAACTCTGTACATCCGTTCCCAATATCATACACAAGATCATCGATATCCTCTAAAGATCGAGATCTATGTTCATCTATGACACCGGATTGTCCTCACAAGGGAGATCTATCTTCACCGTTATCCATTACAGTCCGACAGCCTCGTGTAAAACAATGTCGACCCGAATTTCACAGATATTTAAGAAGCCTCTGTTGTCATCCTACCTTCAGTAATTCAGTAAACTAGTCAAAGAGATAATAATTATATATAAGAGGACATCTGTTGACTTAAATATGATTACGTAATACCTTTCTTTCATATACCGATTATATGCCGCGCCCAACTATACTTTTCTGGAAACCTTGTATTACAAGGAATATGTTTACTTCAGACACGTTATATTTTTAAAAAACACCATCTAGTTGTGAACAGAATCAGTAACCCACGTTATACAAACAATGGGGCACAAGAATGCCGATACCGGAAGTAGAGTCTTTCTGAATGTTCCGGTTGCCCCTGACAACGAAAGACTGATTCAGCTACCGGAGCTCGGACATATTTGTACGTAGTATTACCATGCCTACATTCGGTATTGCGCAGTCGACAAAGAGTGAGTGAGTGAGTTTAGCTTTACGCCGCACTCAGCAATATTCCAGCTATATGGCGGCGGTCTGTAAATAATCGAGTCTGGACCAGACAATCCAGTGATCAACAGCATGAACATCGATCTGCCCAACTGGGAACCGATGACATGTGTCAACCAAGTCAGCGAGCCTGACCACCCGATCCCGTTAGTTAGATCCGGGTTAGAATTAGTCTTCAGTAACCCATGCTTGTTGTAAGAGGCGACTAACGGGATTGGGTGGTCAGGCCAGCTGACTTGGTTGACACGTCATCGTATCCCAATTGTGTAGACCGATGCTCATGCTGTTGATCACCGGATTGTCTGGTCCAGACTCGAATATTTACAGACTATCGCCATATAGCTGGAATATTGCCGAGTGCGGCAACAAACCAACCCTGCAAGAAGCAGGTTCAGTTTCCGTTCCTGAAAGAGATGCGAGGTGAGATGGAACCAGGTTTAAGAAACCATGTGACCGTTTAACACGGACATCCCATTCCAGGCACAGATTCCAGCCGACCTTGCTTGTGTCCCGGTACACCGAACGCGGACAGGTGAGTGAGTGTGTTTAGTTGTCTACGCCGCTTTTAGCACTATTCCAGCAATATCACGGCGGGGGACACCAAAAATGGGCTTCACACATTGGATCCATGTGGGCAATCGAACCCGGGACTTTAAACATTAGCATACTACCACCCACCCACAAAGAACGTTGCATATCCTAAGCAAAACAACATCGCGTCTTAACCTTGAAACAATGTTTTGTACTTTTGTTGACAAAGTTCAATCTTTGAAGTTTTCCTTATCAGGGACAAAAGATTACGAAACTCTCCAGTATATCTGAAAATGCCCATGTTTATTCAAAGAGCTCTTATTGCAATCATATATACAACTTCATAAAAAATAATTTTCAATACAATCCGCGATCGCTGCATCCGTCAACTGTATTGCTGGCTGAGTTCTACCCTATCTAATTTGTGTGTAATATATTCAATAAATTCTGTACTTCTGTCAGTCGTGTTCGTTCATTTGTGTTAAAGGTGACAATTAGAAGGTTCCGAGTTAACAGGATCCGTATTAATGATATTTCAATTCATTGAAATAGGCTACTGCTGTGACATTCAAACACCTTACTCCTTTCGAGAAGAATGAGTTAGTAAGTGTTGAACACAGATCTGATCAACCTGGAATTGATCAGAGGTGTTTGCTGCACACAAGGGGCGCAACTCTGCACGGCGCCTTATACGACTGGGACACGGTGTCACAGTGTCACAGTGTCTTTCGATGAATCGTATGTTTTTGTGGTTTATATTTGGATAATAAAACGTGTAAAAGCTGATACATCCACTGTCCGTCACATAATATCGAAGCAGCTTATGGAGTAATACGAGAGTTCTAACAACATTCAATTTCATTTTTCAATGACGTATATTAGACCCTGCCGATGCTGAAGACACAAATTTCATCCTGTTTGTGGGTGAGGTATATCGTCCCATCTACCCCGCTCCACACACCCCGAGGGGTGTCTAAACCATCAGTCGTCCTCAGTACCACCCCTTCATACTGCCCCCCGTCTAACAACCTCAGCACACCTCGACTCTCCGCGAACACAACCCGTCCCTGGGAGTCACAGTGCACGCCACCTGGGTTCTCGAGCTTCAGCGACCCCTGGGGGTGGAAGCACCACACCACCACCCCCTCTCTTGACAAGCACGTGAGCGTTCCTGCGTCCCTGTCAGACACAAGAATATTTCCACTGGGTGTTGAGCAGAGGTATGCCGGGTAGGTAAATAACGGTGTGCCTGAGGAATCACGGGAAAAGGATTTCATCACCTCTCCGCTGACGTTGATGATGTCAACAGAAGGAGGAGTGCTTCCACCACTGGCTACCAGAGTGTGCTGGTCGAGAGCGGCAAGAGCTGAGTATTTCTTCTCGGCGACGACGGATGAGAGCAACATCATCGACGACCCTACTTTAAGAACACATATCTGCTGAGCTAGAGGTATAGTCACTGCGACGGTTGTGTGCGACAGAGCTGCGATGCAAAAGGGTTTCCCGCCAAGTAGCAGACGACTATCTCGATCACGTCTGCTGTAAAACGCCTTCACACATTGGTTGTTCCAGTCTGTCACGATCACTATGTTGCTATGCGACCCCCCTCCTTGACTCAAAACAACGATGTCGTTAAGTTTGGGAGGCAGATCATCGTCTCTGAGTTTACCCGAAATGGTTCTCAACTTGGTTGGCTTGTTGGCTGGCTGTGATGGGACGGTACCTGTGATAGTGTGGGATCTACTCCTTCGGAATTGCACTGTCCCACCCTGTTTTCGTCTCACATGTAGAGTAACTTCATTATCCAGTGACGGGCGGGGTGTCATTGTTGGCTTTTTCCTACATATTTCTTGCTTCCGTTGTTCCAGAGCCACCTCGCCTATCTTGGAAGCGTTGTGTCTCAGGTTCTTCAAATACGTTCCAGACATGAATCTGAGATCGACTCTTTGAAGTTGCCCGCACAGGGAAGATATTGCCGACACATCAACAGTGCCGACGTTTTTAAACCTGGAATGTTTGCTGAGAACCTCAGCGTCTGTCCCCTGAGCCATCAGCTCCGTCAGCTGAACTAAAGCCTGGTGCGATGCCTTTTGTTCGTCACGGAAAGTGTCGATCTTCTCGTCAACCGTTTCGCACAATGTCTCATGCTTCTCCGCCAAATCCTGCAACAGTTCCGCTTCCCTGTTCCGTAACACAGCAACAAGGGACTCGGTGAAGTCCTTTATATCACTCGCACACTCTTCCTTCAAACCACGGATCCGCTCCAGCTGCTTCTTGACTGAAGCGACCTCATCTCGAGACTTAACGAGAGTCTCGTTCATCTGTTTTCTTAAGGACTGAAGCCGTATCCGTCTGTCGTTTGCCGCTTCTTCTGATGTCACTACGAGGGAACAGCCACGATGTGCTATCCCGGCACACAAATGACATATAGGCTTAGCACACTGCACACAAAACAGGTCCAGCTCTTTCTGAGGATGTTCTGTACAAAATGGTCCTTCGACAGGCGGTGTTGATCCGGGTTTCTCTTCCAGAGTCTTCATCAGTTTGTTCAAATGGAAATTAGTCTTAAACAAGGTTGCCCATTCTTGGGGGCGTCGCTTTGGTTCCGGTGCCTTGATAAATTCTCGGCACACTGGACAGCAGAAGCCATTTTTCTTGGCGACTCCCTGCACCCCCTTGATATACTCGGCCAGGCAGTGTTCGCAGAAAGTATGGAGGCAAGGCAGGGTCTTGGGGGTCTTGTACGTGTCGTAGCAGATTGTACACTGCAATATCTCGTCCTGTATTCGGGACACAGCCATTGCGCCACCTAGAGGAAGAAAACAGAAACATGGGATGTTAATATGTGTCCTTGATCATAAATGGAAACTGACTCTCAGTTTAAATCACAAGGCGTTTCGTATTTATTTCAGGCTTTGCAGAACCTACATACTCTATTACAAGGTCTATTACAAACTGAAACTTTGTTAAACTTCTTCTGTCTGTAATTCAACTTCATGAAGCAAACACTTTATAACGAAGAACATGTCGCGCCATCGGGTCCCGAGAAGATTCGGATTAACCCAAGCTTGTCGTAAGAGGCGACTAACGCGATCGGATGGTAAGGCTCGCTGACTTGGTTGACACATGTCATCGGTTCCCAATTGCGCAGATCGATGTTCATGCTGTTGATCACTGGATTGTCTGGTCCAGACTCGATTATTTACAGACCGCGGCCAATAGCTGGAATATTGCTGAGTGCGGCGCTAAACATTAAACAAACATACCATAAAAGATATGAAGAATATGTATATTATAGATAATCGGTTCAGTCACAGATATGTTTGTGGTATTTCAGTATCCTATTATATACACTGAACTTACGTACGGTTTAGTAGCTTTCGTCAAAGTAAAGCACACATAGGGAAAAGATTTTTTTTTTCTTGATCAAGGCTACGTTTTCGGGTGAGAAGGCCAAATCTTCAGAGCAGAGTAATATTTAGTTGACCGGTAAATGTGCCCCAACTTAAATATCACACTTTCCACGAGGACAAGCGTTTTAAAGATCGAGTCGCAAAAACACGAGAGGCACGTGCGAAAATGTTCAAAGACTACATTTCACTGCACAGTGATCTCACTGTTAAAGACAGCCCCCAATATGTTTTATCTGTATATGTGTATCATCAGCAAAGGTGAATAGTACATTTATAAAACAAAGTTATTGCATTATAACGGTCATTTTCAGAGCAATATCATTATATGTACTTTTACGCAGGACGTGGAGAACGACATCATTACAAATGTAATGCTGGCAATTTCGTGGCCACATAACTCACACCCGTGAAGGTACGGGTTGGAATGACTGACTGACTGACCGAGTTTGGTTTTACGCCGCTTTTAGCAATATTCCAGCAACATCACGGCGGGGGACACCAGAAATGGGCTTCACACATTGTGCCCATGTGGGGATTCGAACCCGGGTCTTCAGCGTGACGAGCCAACGCTTTAACCATTAGGCTACCCCACCGCCCCGGGTTGGAATGAACCTTCAGTAACCCATGCTTGTCGTAAGAGGACACTATTTGGATCGGGTGGTCAGGCTCGCTGGCTTGGTTGACACATGTCATCGGTTCCCATTTGCGCAGATCGATGCTCATGCTGTTGATTACTGGATTGTCTGGTCCAGACTCGATTATTTACAGACCATCGCCATATAGCTGGAATATTGCCGAGTGCGGCGTAAAACTAAACTCACTCACTCAACTCACTCACATAACTCACGTGTCACTTATGGCAACATGTGTCAGACAAGTCACTAATTCTTTATAAGCACTGTATAGATTTATCATCGTAACATCACAACCAATGGGAACTCATGTAACTACTCATGAATGGGTGCACTGGTATGTCGTCAGTCGGGGCGGTAGGGTAGCCTAGTGGTTAATGTGTTGGCTCGTCACGCCGAAGACCCGGGTTCGATTCCCCACATGGGTACAATGTGTGAAGCCTGTATCTGGTTTTCGTCGTGATATTGCTGGAATAGGACTAACAGCGGCGTAATATTATACCCTCACACTCTTCAATACAGTATAACGTGTCCTACACGAAAACAGAAAAAAACCAATACGGTAAAATCCACAATTAGCGCTTACACCTTATAGTCCGTTTGACTTCATTTGAGACCGATGAATTTCTCACTAACACAAAACCTAATACATGCAACAATATCAAACTTTGCACAGTCACATGAAATCGTCAGACCAACTCTGATGATTTGAGTCATAATTTTGGACACCCGAATAAAAAAGTTGTTTAACAAACGATCATTATTTTCTTGTCACTTTTCGCTATTTGTTACGAAGGGGGGCCACTTGCTGGTAGAACAGCCAGGTAATCAACAAGCGTGTACAGTGAAATTTCAATTTCACACGTACAACTCGCACACCTGGCTGTTCTACCAGCCAGTGGTCCTCCCTCGTAAGAAACAGCGAAATGTGACAACAAAATAATGATCGTTTGTTAAACAACTTTTTTAGAGCAAAAGTACCATCTCTCATTTGGTCATTGTTTTGTTAATATGAACTATTTTGTTAATATGAACAAAAGGATACGATAATTTATTTTTAAACCTCCATGTTCCATCGTGTATTGCCGCAAATCATTAATATATACATGGCTCGCCTTGAATAAATGTAATGTGGCGAGATTAGGGGAAGAAGACAAGGTACGCGTTTTTGACTGCTTTACGGTATGGCTGTCCTGATTGGCAACGCCTTAATGTTTCACTTGTGGGAGTAATACGTTAGTGTCATTAGTTGCTACGATCGATAAAAATACGACAACAGCTTGCAATCACAGTCTACCACATCGCAGGATCTCAAGGCAACGCCAAAACACAGACAGGCTTTACATATAGATAGCACATACATCATTACATGTATCATTTGTAAACATCATATGACCCACTACCTGTTGTGCATGTCCTTTCAACACTTGGGGTAAGTCGTGGACAGTGTAGGGAGAGTGGTCAGTTGAGACGGTGTGAATGAACACTGGACCATCGTCGGAGACAGCGTTGTTGCTGATTACCAGTATTACTGACCAATGTCCAGCTGACGGTAAACTTTGCTGGTCAGGAACAGGAGGGCGTCATACCCGGAAGTGAACTTCGTCCTTATCTCACGGCCGTTTCAAAGTATCATATTTCGCCAAAGTATTATATTTCTAGTTACGAGGATACCTGCAGTGCCAATACCATTATATAACAGCTGGCAACGATACATATGATTCTAATTAGATTTGTGGGCGGTTTTGATGAAATTTGATACATCAAGGGAGGTAACTTCTGTCGCCCTTTGGAAGTTTCGAAATAGGGCATACGTTTAGAGGTATTGCAACACGCGAGTTCAAATCTCACACAAACGGTTTTTCGATGAAAAATTAAACGCGTACACAATACATACTGATTTCAAAGCAAATGGGTTCCATTTATGTTTTGTCTGTTTCGGGTAAATTAAATATGAAAATGTAATGGTTATATCTCTCAGACAGTAACATCATCCACCACGACCCTCAAACTCATTACGTCACTGAGTACTTTTCGAGAATTTTGGGGTATCTAGTTTATTAAACTTTCTTGATGCTATGAGACCGGCGTTAAACAACAAACAAACAAACCTAACAAAATTGTGTCTGTGTGTAGGTGAGGGTTTATGTACAAGCAACAGCAATCGTTGGTATATTCAATTACTATAATAATTACTACTAGCGCAATACCAGATGATAATTAAAATGTATTTATTTAATCATTGTTTCGCTTATTATTTCAATCAGTATTTTTTCGTGTTATTTTCTGTTTTATCTTATTCACAGCAACACAAAGGCAACAATAACTTTGAATTAGCTTATTCAAAGAGACATACACAAAACCTTCTCCGCAAAGAGTGAAAGGTCATAATTCAATAGATTTCTAATTACATTCTACGTACGGGAAGATTACATTTTGTCTGTTATCTACTATGCTAGTCTGTCAAACAAATTCTGAGGCAAATATATCCAAGAAAGCCCACGCAAGTCTAGAAAATATGGCAAGTCTTGATTTCCACAGTTTGAAGAAAGTCTCAGGGCTCCTTTTCATTATATTTTATTTTTTTACTATGAACTTTTTTCTGTAAAATATGTTCATTTCAGAGACTAGTTGTTACCCTACTACTATGCCACATGGAACATTCCGGACTCGTGGAGTTATCTCCCTTGGATCGATGTGCCCACATTCGCCTGTCAGCAGATAGTCCTACTGTGACTGAAAGACAGGCTGGATCCCTGATCGATAATAGCACAGTTTGTTGTACGTATAGCCCAGTCTGTGGGGTGGTTCCGTGTGTCAGGGACACTGTTGTCCGTCAACTCTTTGTTTGTTCAAAACAATCTACGAAGCATTTAATCAAATCTTAACATTAGAATGATTAATTGTTTGGACAGAACAGAACCTCTGCTTTAGCTTTCGCATTTCATTTTTAACAAATGTAAACTTTTTTATTCGTTTAAAAAATTCGATTGTACACAGGGTAATATTAATCGTACATGTGTGTGTGTGTGTGTGTGTGTGTGTGTGTGTGTGAGAGAGAGAGAGAGAGAGAGAGAGAGAGAGAGAGAGAGAGAGAGAGAGAGAGACTGTATGTGTGCTTTTTCCCTCTGTGAGTGAAAATATAATTTGAGCGTGTGTGTGTGCGTGTGTGGGAGGTGACTGTGTGGTGTAGATATATATGGTTATATAGTCAAATATATAGGTATGCCATATGTATGTAGCAAAAAATCTGCTCAATCAGCACATTTCATCTCGGCATTCAACAGCCCATCCCGACAGTACAAGGCTGACGGTGGGGAGGGGAGGAGGAGGGCGACTGGGGGTGGCGGGGTTTAGACAATGGATACAGCCACGGGTTGTTAACCTATCCTCTCCCCCTGACAGATCCAGAGGCTGGGTATTCGTGTTTACAGTAGGGATACCCTTATTGGGAAATGTTGTCACAAGACTTAATATTGACACGGGAGGGCGTGGGTGGATACAGGCAGATAGGGGGTCGTGCGTGCGTCCATGGGGGATACTAAAGCATCTGTTTAAGGTAACGTGATCCCTATCAGCGGTGTTTACCGACGACGGAGCTGCTGTTTCTTAGGATAACATGAGTGGGTCAACGTTGATGTGGCGAGGTCCCTTTATTATTACCGTCATGGGCTATGTTAGCATACATCCTTTACCCAACATCAAACATTAATGTCCGTTTAAAACGATATATCATGCGTCATAGATCCATTATTTTTCGCTTCTGGAAGGACTGATTAATTCATAATTAAACTACATATTGAGTGAGTGAGTGAAGTTAGTTTTACACCGTTTTAGCAATATCACGGCGGGGGGCCACAGGAAATGGGCCCATGTGGAGAATCGAACCCGTTAAACTACATATAACACTGGTTGTGCCTAATATCACATAACCTATGGCATATGTTAAATGTAAAGTTTTCGCGTAATTAGAAACCTTGGTTTTCAACACCAGAACGAAAGTATACATTCTCTGTAATCAGTATTCGTGAGTATGTCATTTTGTGAATGCAAATACCTGCTTAAACTATAATGTATGATTTCAAAGAAATCTATTCGCTCAAAGGGGCGGTGGGGTAGTCTAGTGGTTAATGCGTTGGCTCGTCACGCCGAAGACCCGGGATCGAATCCCCACATGGGTACAATGAGTGAAGCCCATTTCTGGTGTCCCCCGCCGTGATATTGCTGGAATATTGCTAAAAGCGGCGTAAAACCAAAGTCAGTCAGGCTATTAAAAATTTTAGTCAATGAGTTTTCCTCTTTAATGACCAACATTCCCACAATATAGAGGCAGCGAGTCGGAGATCGACTCTCGGCATACCAGTGGTTGATGTCATGATGTACAGTTACTACTGAAATGTGATGTGTCGTTAATAAACTGAGAGTAACTGTCTTCAATGTTGATTTCTCCTTGGTCAAGGACATTATTAATGATAGGATAAATTATTTTTTCTAATAGGATATTCACAGGTGAACAATCCGATACGAACATTTCGACGAGTTATTTGGTTGGTAAAGCACTGCTAAAGTACTGTCGGAAATAGAAAAAAAAACTGTTATAGGCTGTTGCTCTGTATCCCTAAAATTTACACAACTGCAAATAGCATATGTCGAAATAACCCACGTCGACCTAACTTGGCATTCAGTGGGATGCGTAATAGGATATCAAGAAAAGCATGTTTACTCGTAAAATCGGGCAAAACTTACAAAAAATACGAATAGCTGCTGAAAACAATAGATCAGACTATAGATGGCAATTAAGTTGCTCAGCCAGTATGACGACGGACCGTCGACTCACCTGGCATGAAATGCATGTGCTGCCTACAGGCACAAGGGAGCATCTCAAAGATATTTTGTGCTTTTTCATGTGTGTGTTGACTATGTCTCATCTATTGATTAACATCTTACGTGTATTTCTTTCATAAAGGTTATGTTGTAAAAGAGTATGATACCTGATAACCATTGAAACGCATCGTATTAAATGTCTCAAAATATATAGGTGGCATGACCACCCAATTGCGAAGATCGACAGGACTGGATATTATTTGTAAATTGTTATGACATGCCGTGTACTTTCCCAGTACAATTGCCCTAAAGGATTATCTTATCTTAGCTGATATCTCTATCCCCCAGCCCCACCCTAACGATCGTCTGCGACACCCGTCCAGGTTTTGCTTTTGAGACGAACCCTCCTATCTGTTTCTTTTTATAGTGACAGTCAGACACCATGGTAGCTACATCCTTAATAGTTTCAGCATGAAAGTTCTTATTTTTTACGCCAGTTATCGTTTATAATGAAGCTACGTCTAATTTCAAATTGGGCATTTAAAAAGTGTCCTTTGTAATACAATATCGTCGCACACTAATTTGCATAAAGCCATGGTCTGTTCCAAATAAATCGTTTTGGACTTAGAAAAAACCCGCATTGCCCATTTCTGCACTAATCTCTCCTCAGTAAAGTCCTTTTTCTACGTTTCCCATGTCCCTACCACTGAGACTGTAGTTAGGCCGAACTGAGTTTAACAAATATTTCACACTTGCACATATCAACTACATAAATTGTAGGGATAAATGAGAAAATACAGGGTTTTTTCTATTTCCGACAGTATTTAAGTGCATTCATCAATAGACACGAAGTCCCAAAGATTCGGTATTCATCTCACACAAGGCTTATCTACCTTAGGAGGCGTGGTTACTGAGGGGCGGGGCTTGAGGGGGCGTGTCCTGAGACGTAATTCCATGCAATGTCACATCACAAAGCTGTAGTAGGGTCAAGCAGCGGGCAGTAGGTCGCTCACCTGGGTTCAACGATTCTCTCCCTAATGATCTGATAATACCATGGCTGGAGGTACTACCGGTTGAAGGTATTAAAGCACTGTTCTTGAGCCTGTCATGAAGCAGATCTGTCACAGTGCTTTCAGTAATCAGTCCTGTGTTTAACAGGATAAGTTGAAAGAGTATGTTTTTACGCCGCTTTTAGCAATACTCCAGCAATATCACGGCGGGGGACACCAGAAATGTTCTTCACGCATTGTACCCATGTGTGGAATTGAACCCGGGTCTTCGGTGCGACGAGCGGACGCATAATCCACTAGGCTACCAATAGCCTAGTGATATTTGTTGAATTTGCAGCGTAAAACATTACTATAACCCGGCCTCACCCCACCTCACATTACTTCTCTTCCTACCCATCTATCCTCCTCCTCACCCCACCTCATCCCTCCCCACACCTCTCACACCACCTCACCCCATCCCATCTCACAGTTCACCACCTCACCCCTACTCACATGACCTTATCCCTTCTCATACTACCTCACCTCACCCCATCTCACAGTACACCACCTCATCCCTACTCACATGACCTTATCCCTTCTCACACTACCTCACCTCACCCCATCTCACAGTTCACCACCTCACCCCTACTCACATGACCTCATCCCTTCTCACATGACCTTATACACACTCACTCTCACCCCATCTCACAGTTCACCACCTCACCCCTACTCACATGACCTTATCCCTTCTCACACTACTCACCTCACCCCATCTCACAGTTCCCATCTCACAGTTGACCTTACCACCATCCCTACTCACATGACCTTATCCACATGACCTTATCCCTTCTCACACTACCTCACCTCACCCCATCTCACAGTTCACCACCTCACCCGTAGTCACATGACCTCATTCCTTCTCA